TAAAGTCTTCTACTGACCAAGAAAAGCCCATTCTAGTGTTTTGTGTGTGTGTGTTTATTGTGAATTAAGTGAAGGTTTACAGGGCAGATCATCAGTTTTACACTCAGTAATTCTTACACTTCATTTCATCTCTGTGATTTCAATCCCCTCACACTCACCTCCTCACTCCATTTCCTGTTCCATTCCTCCTCCTTTCCCAGTGTTTCTGAACTTTGCTCTTGGGTAAATGCTGTCTTTATGATCTTGGATGATGCTTTCCTCACTAGTGTTGTTATTCCCGTTATATACCCATCTATGTCTGGTGTGGCGCTATGGGATAAGCACTGGACTGCAAAGTCGGTTTGAACCACAAGGTCAATGGTTCAAGCCCACCAGCCGCTCCTTGGAAACCCTATACAGGGTCACTATGAGTTAGAACTAACTGGACAGCACTTAACACAACACTGCCTGGCTGAAACTTGAGCCACTGAGTTGCGTTCGTGACCAGTAAGCCTCATCTTTTTATGATTTTGTGTTTTGTTCTACATTTTCTCTTCCTCTCTCCAGGGCCTTCCACGGTGATGGCTTTCAGAGCTTTTGGTAGTGGTAGCTCCGTGCCATCTAGTTTTTCTAGTCTCAGGACCATGGAAACTGCTGTTCATGGGTCCATTCGTCCATTGGACTAATTGTTTCCAAGTGACTTCAGTTTACTTTCCATCATTCTTCTTGCCTTCTGACAATGAGAGACTGATAATTGCATCTTAGATGACCACTTATGAGCATTTATGATCCCAGTTGCTACTCACCAAAGTAGGATGTAGAACGGGTCTCGGGCATGGACGGAGAATGAAAGTGGAAGAGGCCTCAAGATGGTCATTCAAGAGTGATTTTATTATCTACAACACAGCTTTAAGTATACTTCTCAGCAGGAAGCATATCCCAGCAGCATGTGCATCAAAAGTTTATGATGAACACAACAACCTTTAGATCACAATAGCCATTCAGTCATGTTCAGACTCACGAATCAAGTACTTAGGGATTCTTGTTTCTGGTTGCAGTCCCTGCTTCCAAGCTATGCGGTTGTTAGTGTGTTCTTTCCCACATTCTTTGGTCAGCAAGGCGTCCCTTGTTGTTCACCTCAAGGCGTCCCTTGATCTTAGAATGGCCTCAGAGTGGGCTTCACACAGTCCTACAGTATCTACACAGTTCAACAACAACAAATGTAGCACAGTGGTTACGAGCCGGGTTGCTAACCTCAGGGTCAGCAGTTGGAAACTACCAGCTGTTCCACATGAGAAAGATGAGACTTCCTGCTCCCATAAAGATGAATAGCCTTGGAAACCCTGTGCAGGGTCCCTACAAGTTGGAACCGACTCCGTGGCACGTAACCACCACTATCATTATTTTTTTCGTTAGCCAACCTTTCAACGCAGAAACATAACAATGCAAAAAGCCAGAAGTTTTCCAATGCATGTTCAACTGATCACATCTTGGTGAAACTTTAAACTTGATACAGTAGAATACTAGAACCTGAGTGAATCATGTTGGCCATCGCGTATGTAACTCCCTCATAGAATTCTTCTCCAATGTTGTCTTTTGATTTTACTACAACTATTTATTCAAACCCACTGGATTGTGATGCTTATGTTTTTGTTTCTTGGTCCGAAAGTCTTATGAGGAGACATACGGAAGATGAAAGGCAGCCTTACTCATTTGATGCTGGAGAAAGGGAAAGTGAAAGAAATCATTTTAAAATGCCATCTTATTAAATAAATTTAGTTTTGAACTCACTAATGAGACAACACTTTGAGAACAAATAAACAAATAAGGCTTGTTTCATGATACTGTGTTGTTTTTTTTTTTTAATTGAAGGTTTGTGGCCACCCCACGTCCAGAACGTGTATCCCTGCCATTTCGCCAACACAATGTACTCACTTCATGTCTGTGTCACATTTTTGTAATTCTCAAAATATTTCTTTTTTCCCTAGTGCTGTTGTACATGTAATAGACTACAGCATCGTGTAAACGTCATTTTTATATGCACTGTTACTGTTGTTACGTGCTGTCATGTCAGTTTTGACTCATAGTGACCCTGTATAGGGTTTCTGGGGCTTTAAATCTTCACATGAGCAGAAAGCCTCGTCTTTCTCCCATGGAGCAGCAGATGGGCCCAAACAGCAGACCTTATGGTTCTCAGTCCAATGCTTACCATATGGAGCCGCCCTTATGTTCACTGGGAGACCAATAGTTTTCTTTGACTCATGTTATTGCGATGTTGGCTTTTTTGCAGTGGTCTGGAGCAGAGGTATGCCTGTACTAGAATGTTGTTGTTGTTGTTGTTAACTGCTGTTGAATCCGTTCCGACTCATAGCAAGCCTATATAGGGTTTCCGCAGAGTGACTGGTGGGTTTGAAATGCTGCCCTTACGGTTCAAACAGACCTGGTGGTCCAGTGTTTCACCCTACAGCACCACCCCAAGACTCTTGTACTAGAATGTTGTTGAGTGCTGTTGAGTCTGTTTGGACTCATAACAACCCTGCATAGGGTTTCCAAGGAGCAGCTGGTGGGTTTGAACTGCCGACCTTGTGGTTTGCACTCCAGTGCTGATCCTACAGCGCCACACCATTAGACCTAGAATAGAGGGAATAAAAATAATAAGGAAATACCATGCACCACAAATTCAGTACTCTGGTAGTGTAGTGGTTATGAATTGGGCTGTGAATCGCAAGGTCAGCAGTTCGAAACTACCAGCTGTTCTGTGGGAGAAAGATGAGGCTTTCTGCTCCCGTAAAGATTTACAGCCTTGGAAACCCTGCACAGGGTCGCTATGAGTCGGAACCGACTCCACGGCACAGAACCATAGAAGTAGGGGGAAGGTTGGGTCTAAAGTTAGCGCACAGTGTGGCAGCTCCCGAGGGGAAGGCAATACACCCCCAGGGACCTTCTCTGACAATGAAGATGGCTACAAAAACCAAACCCATCCCCTTTGATTGCCATGTAATAGAGCAGAATTGCCGTATAGTGTCCAAACTGTATTCTTCACAGAACTAGAACATAACAAGGTCTTTCCGCTCTGGAGCAGCTGGTGAGTTCCAAGGGCTGGAGGTGTTTAATGTTTAGTCACTGGCCCACCAAGCTTCCTTTGAGATGGGAGCACTGGCTGGAGAGTCTGCTGGGCTCCAGGTAGAGGCTAGCTGTGGTCTAGCTGCTGATTCCATCAGGTAGTGAAAACACCTAACACTTCTTCCTTCCCCTGGCATCTGCTGACCTAGGTGAGCAGGGCCCTGAACAGGGCTGCACAAAAGATGCTCTGACGATGATGGGCAGGAGAGGCAGCCCAGATTAACACACTATGGTGGCTGCATGCCACGGAGTTGGTTCCAACTCACTGCAACTCTATATAGAGTTTCCAAGGCTATAAATCTTAAAGGAGCAGAAAACCTCATATTTATTCCACGGAGTGACTGCAAGATTCAAACTACTAACCTAGTTGTTGTTGTTGTTAAGTGCCGTAACGGCTGGCTGGTGTGTTTGAATCACCGACCTTGTGGCTCAAACTGACCTTGCAGTTCAATGCGTTATCCTGCAGCGCCACACCAAGACTCCGACTTTAGCAGCCCAGTAATCCACTAATCTAGTAATCCGTTCATCCAAAACTCTACCAGGGAGTCCTGGACCGAAAGGTGACTTTGAACAACAATGTCAGCAGTTCAAACTCACCAGCTGCTCCTTGGAAACCCTATACAGGCTCGTGATGAGTTTACCAACTTGATGGCACTTAACACCCAGGGCTCCTTGGTACATACAGTTGTTGTTGTTGTTAAATGCCGTCTAGTCCATCCTGACTAGTAGTGACCCTCTATAGGGTTTCAGAGGAGTGGCTGGTGAGCTTGAACCGCCGATGCTGCGGTTCAAACCACCTTGCAGTCCAGAGCATTAACCGTCAGCATCACACAAGGCCTCTAGTACAGACAGTTGTTGTTGTTAAGTACCGTCGAATCGATTCCGACTCATAGCGACCCTGTATAGGGTTTCCAAGGAGCAGCTGGTGAGCATCTATCTACATTTTCCATCTCTGGGGTTTATTGGGAAGGTGTTGTCCCTCTTTTAGTGCATGCTGCCATCTGGTGGGCGACGGTGTAACTGAAGCACCTGTCCTCAACCCAACCCCAGCACAACAGATCCTTTGGTACTTATATGTCGCGCTGATTGTATCAAAAGTCCTATTACCTCAAAAATTCGTTTTCATTTCATTCAAAATGTCTTCTGTTACTGAAAACATGGTTTCAACAAAACACATTTCAAAGCAGAAAATAATTTGGTCTTGAAAGGGTTAAGAGAAACAGCTAACCAGCACCCAAATCCATCTGTGTGTGTGTGTGTGTGTGTCCTGACCTTCCAAAAACTTTATTAAGAAAGCTTACATTTTCATGCATGTAATTTGGATGCATGGGAATAGTTTTACGGAGTAAATGTGAAGAGTCGCAGGTCTCCCGTAACAGCTAGGACGCATAGGCCATGGGATCACAAACCAGGCCTCCTCCTCCCAAAGCCAACCTTTTCGGTGTTGGCTGTGGGATGGCAAACGCCATCAAGGCGGCCTCTTTCTGTGCTCCCACCAACTGCGCAGCAGACACGTGCAGTTAGAATGGGGAATCCGCTCCCACACTCCAAGGGTCCCTCGATACTGCCAGCACGTTTATCTCGGAGGCTAGGGCCCCAGATAACCCTCACACCAGCGAGCACACTCCCCAAAGTCGCTCCATCCACACACCGTACCTCCCTCATCGCTCTGCCCCGCCGGCGGCCCAAACATCCCCATTGGTTGGAGGACCTGCGGGTTGAGTCTCCCATTGGTCGGACGCTGCAGCGTGCCGCACTGCCTTCTGGGAGCTGTAGTCACAGCGTCGGCGGCACAGCCGCCATTGTCCATCGGTTGGCGAGTTGGGTGGGCCCTTTGGCGAAGGTGGCTCTTGAGTTTAAGGTCGCCTTGTCTTCTGTCCCCGGTTCGTCCGTCCAGGATGGACGCCGAGGAGGAGGCGGCAGAGGTGGCGATGGCCGTGGGGTTGCCAGCGGCCCGGTTTAAGGTAATGATAATAACAACGTCGGCGTCGGGTCCCGGTCCAAGAGCCCACCGTGGATACTAGCACTTTAAACCCACACAGCGCGTCATTTGGAGGGCACGGTTGTTATCCCCCTGTACACAAGGGCGAACGGGCGCGGCGATTTATCAGGCCCAGGACGGGCGGAGTCGGGATTCGAACCCAGTCCCCCAGACCCTGAATCAGTACGTGCCTCAGATGGGGTGATACGGTCATTTCTGCGGCCACCCTGGAAAAGCTGACATCTCTTCCCAAACACACACCCAGTCAGTCACCCTCCTGTCCCCGAGACTGGGCAAAATGCCGCAGGGACCCAACGCCGAGATGGCAGGTAGTTCACCGGGAGGGGGCGCAGCAAACACCCAAGGAGGACCCCACCCGATCCCCACCCCGGGGGTGAGGGGCAGGCGCTGTTCAGTGCTGCCTGTTTGGTTTGTTGGTTTAGGAAGATTTGCATGCCTTTAGATTTGATGCACAAAGTGAGATTATGATAACCTAAGTGTGTGTTCTTTCAGATTTGCATGTTGGACCGCACCGGTTTGCCCTTGTGGGGGTGGGGAGGCGGGAGTATTCGTTACCTGTTGCTATGTAACCAGGCACTCACAGATTCTTGTTGTTAGGAGCAACCCCCGGTACAACAGAACAAAACACTGCCCGGTTCTATGCCGTCTTGGGAGCTAATTCTGTGTTTGAGCCCGGAGTTTCAGCCACTATGTCAGTGCTGTTGGGGTGGGGGTGGAGGGTCTCCTCTTTTTCACCCACCCTCTACTTTACCCAGCCTGTGGTCTTTCTCCTGAGAACATGTACAACGTACTTGAGACAAAGTCACCACCCTTGTGTCTAAGAAGTATTCTGGCTGTACTTCTATCAAGACACATTTGTTCCCTCGGCTGGCTGTCTACGGTCTGTTCAATATGCTTCCCCAGGCCTGCAATTCAAAGCATATGAGGCATGACTGAAAACCCTATGGCGTAAGTCAGGTACGCCTTAGTCCTCACACTGATATCTTTGCAGCAGATTTCCCCATTGTAATACCCACAGTTTATTGTTGTGAAGTGCCGTCGAGTCGGTTCCGACCCATAGCAACCCTGTATAGGGTTTCCAAGGAGCAGCTGGTGAGCTTGAACCGCCAACCTTGCAGTTCAAACGGCTTTGCAGTCTGGCGCATTAACCCACCGACAATATGGTGATACTGGTAGTTATGTGTCGTGGAGTCGGTTCCAACTCCTAGTGACCCTGTACAGGGTTTCCAAGGCTGTAAATCTTTATGGGAGCAGAAAGCCTCCTCTTTCTCCCGTGGAACAGCTGGTAGTTTTGAACTATTAGCTCACCGCCCAATTTGTAACCACCACGCTCTCAGAGCTCCTTCCACCTATGACGTAGACCGGCTAAAAAACTGAGATTTGTCCGAGCTGGAACTCAACAGGGCTACAGGGTCTTGCAAGTTTTCCTCCTCTGACGTGAGCAGCCACTTTTCTGTCACTCTTTTTAGTGCGTAACTATTTGCGTTTTCCTTCTCTGAGCCCGTTTCCACCTGAGGCAGGTTGTGGCTTTTACAGATTTTACAGTAAACGTTAATGATCTCACAGGTTCTGATGGTTAGGAATCCTCGAATGACTTGGCTGGTGACTCTGGCAGTGGCTTAGGGTCCAGCTGTCCCCTAGGACGGCTGTCATCACTTCCCAGATGGCTCACTCACGTGGCTGTTGGCAAGAGGCCTCAGTTCCTCCCCACGTGGGCTGCTAGTGCAACTGCTTTCCTGTCCTCACAACATGGCACGTGAATTAAGAGGGAGAACAAGGTGAAAGCAGCGGTCCTTTTAGTGACTGGCCTCTGGTATACTATGTTGTTGTTGTTAAGTGCCGTTGAGCTGGTTCTGAGCTTAGCGATCCTGGATAGGGTTTCCAAGGAGCGGTTGGTGAGCTTGAACCGCTGACCTTGCTGTTCAAACCTACTTTGCAGTCCGTTGCGTTAACTCACAGCGCCACACCAGGACTCCTCTGTCATTCCCAGAATATCTCAGTGTGGGAGGGGACTTCACCAGGGCATGAAAACCGGGAGGCAGGGATCGTTGGAGGCTGTCTGGAAGCAGGACACTGCAAAAGGCCAGGATTGGAGGTGGTGGTGATCCAATAGCCCCATCTGTGTTTTCTACAGGAATGGTGTGGGTTTCAGAAGAACCGCTTAGGTAGTTGTCATTGGTGGTAGGTACTTAGGGCTGAGTCAAGGTAGCAAGGAAAAGAGGAGGTGCTGACTGACGTCTAGGGTGGCCAGTCAACAGGGAGCGAGTTGCAGAGGAGAGAGGTCTGAGCTAGCCTTCCCCACCAGGCAGTCCAGGGAAAGACAAGGGCTGCTAGGGTCAGGGTGTGAGGCAGAACCACAAGGAGAGCCCAGACCATGAGGAGTGGGTTCCTAGGCTTCCAGGAAGGAGACAGGAGGCATGTGCGTAAGGCCGTCGAGCTGTCTCGGGACTGGACTGACCTGTGCTCAGTGGTGCCCTAGCCATCACTGGAACCAACACTGTGGGCCACAGTGGCCCGTGAGAGGAGGAGGTGCAGGGAGTGTGGATTGGTGAGTGGGAGGTGAGGATGCGTGAACGGGAGCAGAGACCTGTTCCCAGCCAACGCTTTGTGCAGGTTTCTTGCACAATTTTTGTGAGAGCCATGTTCCTACTATAATTTCTTTTCTTTACTCAAATGTTTCTTTTTTTTAGAAAAAAGTTTTAAAAATTGAACTATAACTCACAGAAAAGATTTCAAATCCTAATTGTAGACATACCACAAGTTAACACACACCTGGTGAGCATCAGTATCTCAAGAAAGTATGATTGGTTCCGCAAAGTCTGGGGACCCCTTCCTCCTCCCAGGCACCGGCTCCCTCCTTCCCAGAGCTAACGGCATTCAGTCTTCAAACACCATCGACTGCTTTGCCAGGTTTAAACTTTGCAAGTGTTGTACTAACTTCTTGTACCTGACTTCTTTCACTCACCTGTGGTTGGCGAGATTCATCCAAGGTTATTCTCCTTACTGCATTGTTCCGTCCTGTGACTAGACCACATCTTACTGATTCTTCTGTGGTAGAAGGTCATTTGGTTTCTCTGCAGTTGTTGGCTGTTATAAATACACCCAGTCCTCGCTTATCAATAGGGTTACGTTCCTGAGACAGGTCGTTATGTGAAAACTGATGTTATTTGAAAATGTTGTTATTGTTCATTGCTGTCAAGTCGGTTCCGACTCATAGCGACCCTAATTAGGGTTTTCAAGGAGTGGCTTGGTGGATTTGAACTGCCAACCTCTCCTCAGAAACCCTGTACAGGGTCACTGTGCTTCAGAACGGACTGAAGGACACTTAGCCCAACAATTACATCATCACCTAATTACATCATGGTCCGCCAGGACCTGTAACTGTGACATCACCGCCTGCATTCTCATCTCGCACCTGGACGCTCGCTGCTACCAGACTGCACGTCGGTTGGAGTTAATGTCCACCATCTGTTCTGTGTGGACACTGTATAAACATCTAATTATATACAGGCAGCCCTGCACAATTCATCATTGACGTCTCGTAAAGCCTATTTTATTAAAAGCTATGGCAGCCCACTTGGTAGAGGAGTCCGGCCTTTCTGGATGTGTGTCTGCGCCAAGAAGGGGCTTCCCTGGCGGCAGAGTTGGGACTGCGCAAGTCCAGACGTAGGGTGTGGTTCGCAGAAGGTACGGAGACGGCTCATCTGGTGGCGTGGATTGCTGTCCACAATGGAGGGCTGCTTACCTCCCCACTGACTGCTGACGTCACCGCGCTCGTCCTCGGTGCTGAGGACGTAGAACATCATTCCGGATTCCAGAGTCTTACCTCCCCACTGACTGCTGACGTCACCGCGCTCGTCTTCAGTGCTGAGGACGCAGACCATCATTTCGGATTCCGGAGTCTTACCTCCCCAGTGACTGCTGACGTCACCGCGCTCGTCCTCTGTGCTGAGGACGCAGAGCATCCTTCCGGATTCCGGATTCCTGAGTCTCACCTCCCCAGTGACTGCTGACGTCACCGCGCTCGTCTTCGGTACTGAGGACGCAGAGCACCCTTCCGGATTCCGGATTCCGGAGTCTTACCTCCCCAGTGACTGCTGACGTCACCGCGCTCGTCCTCTGTGCTGAGGACGTAGAGTACCATTCCGGACTCTGGAGACTTGTTAACTGAAACACGCAGAGCAACAGCAAAGATCAGAATCCCAGCATGAATCGCAGCCTGTGAAGTTTTTGTTTTGTTTGTAACAGCTTTTGTTGTTGTTGTTAGTGCCATGGAGTCAGTCAGTTCACCGTGTGTGCAACAAATGAAACCCTACCCAGCCCCGCCCCTTCGTCTCTGGCATCGCAGTGCTTGAACCCACGTGGCAGCCGCTCTGGCAGCCCGTCTTGTTGGGGGTCTTCCTCTCTTCCGTAGATCCTCTCCTTTAAGCATGATATCCCTCTCCAGAGACAGGTCCTTCCTAACAACATGTCCAAAGTATATAAGACCAAGTCGCCATCCTCACTTCTATGGAACGTTCTGGCTGTACTTCTTCCAAGACAAATTTGTTCATTCCGTGGTATATTCAGTATCCTTCGCTAACAGCATCATTTCTTCTTTGGTTTTCCTTATTCACAGCCCAGTTTTTGCATGCAAATGAGGTCATTTTCAGTGCCATGTCTTGGGTCAGATGCCTTACTGCTTAAAGTGACATCTCTAACACTTTAAAGAGATCTTTTGCAGCACATTTCCCCAATGCAGTACCTCACTTGGTTTCTTGATTGCTGTATCCAAATAAAAATGAACTCCTTGACAACTTTAATGTTTTCCCCATTTATCATAATGCTGCTTATTGATCCAGTGGTGAGGGTTTTTGTTTTCTGAAGTCTTGAGTTTCTTTCAATAAGTGCTTCATATTCAGTAAGGAAGATAGCATCATCTGTGTAGTGCACATAATGAGGGAATCTTCTTCCAATCCTGATACCATGCTGTTCTTCAGAGAGTCTCGTTTCTCAGGTTTTTTGCTCAGAATACAGATTGAGTAAGTATGGCGAAAAGATACAGCCCTGACTGACACCTTTCCTGAGTTTAAACCAAGCAGTATCCCCTTGTTCTGCATGAATACATTTAAGTGTAGTAGAAACACAGATAAACATCTTCCTGGTATTCTCTGCTTTCAGCCAAGATCTAGCTGGTATCAGCAAAGATATCCCTTATTCCATGTCCTCATCTGAATCCTGTTTGAATTTCTAGCAGTTCCCTGTTGATGTATTGCTGCAACTGGTTTTGAATTCTCTTTAGCAAAATTTTACTTGTGTGATATTAATGATATTGTTCAATAATTTCAACATTCTCCTGGGTCACCTTTCTTTGGAATGGCCACAAATATGGATGCCTTTCAGTTGACTGGCCCCGTGACTAGCTTCCAAATTTCTTGACGTAGATGAGTGAGCACGTCCAGCTTTGTGTCTGATTGTTGAGACAAACAAACAGCTTAATGAGGTATAATTTACATACAGTTCACCCATTTAAAGCATGCAATTTTTCATATGTTCACAGTTTTGCACCCATCTCTACAATCAATTTGAGAACATCACCTCAAAAAGAAATTCGGTCCCTATTAGCTATCACCCTTTCCCACCCCCAGTCTAATCTACCCTCCCCCAGCCCAAGTAACCACACTAATCTTCAGTTTCTGTGGATGTGCCTGCGATGGACATTTTATAAAAACGAGGTCATATAATATGTGGTGCTTTGTCTGAATTATCTTACTGTACCTAATGAATTCCGATTGCAGCCTTGTTGTTTTTGTGCTATCTACTTCATTCCATTTTATGGCAGATTAATATCCCAGGGTTTAAATGTGCCACATTTGAGTTCATTGCCTGACGGACATTTTTTCCTTCTTTGACTAGTACTTTTCAGAACGTTCATGTACAAGTTTTATGGGAGTTCCCCTCCGCCCCATAGACACGTTTCTTATGTAGAATTATGTTCTTATCTCTTTTAGATGCATACATTGGGCTGAATGGTAACTATGTTTAACCTTTAGAGGAATTGTAATTGTTTTTGGAAATAACCACATGACTTTAGATTCCCACAGCCACGTATAAAGGTTTCAATCTATCTGCATCCTTGCCAACACTTGTAATTATGTGTCTTGGTTTTCAGTCTTCGTGGCCAATGTGGTGTTTGTTTCCCTAATGGCCAGTGATGTTGGGCATCTTTACATGTGCTTATTGAGTGTTTGAGATCGTATTTGGAGAAATGTCTATTTAAGTCCTTGGCCCATTTTTCAACTTGACTTTTTATCTGTGTATTATTCAGTTATAAGAGTTCTTAATATATTCTAGATACTAGTCCCTTATCAAGTAAGTGATTTGAAAACAGTTTTACCTGGGTTGTCTTTTAAATTTCTTGATAGTACCTTTTAAAGCACAAAAGTTTTTAATTTTGATGAATTATAAATCACTTGCTTTTTGTTACTATTGCTAGAATTTTATGTCATATTTTTAAAAATCATTGGTGACATGAAGGATTTTCTTCTAAGAGCATTATAGTTTTAGCAGTTACTTGTAGATTTTTTATCCATTTGAGTTAGTGTGTATATGGTGTGAGGCCAGAGTCCAGCTGTATTCTTTTACATGTGGCTATCTGGGAGTCAGAATGGCCAAGCTTCGTCTCTCATACTTCAGACATATTGTCAGGAGTGACCATTCGCTGGAGAAGGAGATCATGTTTTGTAAGGTGGAGGGTCAGAGAAAAAGAGGAAGACCCCCAGCGAGATGGATTGGCCAAATGGCAGCATCAATGGGCTCAAGCATGGCAACAATGATGAGGTTGGCCCATGACCGGGCAGTGTTTCGTTCTGCTGTGCACAGGGGCACTATGGGTTGGTACCGACTCGAAGGCCCCTAACAACAACAAGGTAGTCATCTAACATGCACTAGCTCCCGTCCAGCCCAGGAGGGGAAGACTCCTCACAGACGAAGGAGGAGGCTGGGAAGCAGAATTAGGTATCTCCTCAGTGCCTCTTGGGGAGAAAGTGGCAAAGCCAAGGCTCTGATCCAAGAAGATCTAGCTTTCAGCCATGGCCACATCCATGGATTTTGTGTATTAGACTTGTTTTAGATAAATTACATCAGCTTATAAAAATCAAGAGCTTTCCCACGAGGACGTGACCTGTTTTTCAGCTTCTATCCAAAGATCAGCAATTTCAGTCACATGGGCCTTCTTTGTCCAGTGAATTCTGAGGCCCACTCTCCTTTAGACACAAGCTCTCATCCCCTCCAGTTCTACTGAGCAGGTGGGCATGTGGGCCTTACACTGCCCCACTTCAGTCACTGAGCCCTGAAAAGCATGTGCGTTTCTGACTTGGACTATACCCTTTTCAGGGAGGACGGTGAGCCTTGTTCTGTATCTGAGAGTTCGTGGGTGTTTCATTTAGCTGTTGCTACATAACAGACGACCCCAAAACTTAGTGCCACCTTTTAGTTTACAAACCTGCAGGCCAGGAACCTACAGGCAGAGTTGGATACTCCTGTCTACCTGTGACCACCTGTGGGACAGCTATCTATGAGTCAGCTTTGTCGATCTTGCCCCGACACTCCCCTGTGTCCTGACATAAAGCCCACTCGGGCCAGCAGAAGCCCAGTGGGCACCCATTCGACAGATCCTGGACTCCTGCAGGACAAGTGTCTGCCTGTCATCTCTCTCCCCTCTCCTCCTCCTCCTGAGAACACTAATTAGAAATGGCCCAGCTGATGAGCTCTTGCGTGGCCTTTCAGGAGCCGGTGACCTTTCGGGACGTAGCTGTGGACTTCACCCGAGAGGAGTGGAGGCAGCTGGACCCTGCCCAGAGGACCCTGTACCGAGACGTGATGCTGGAGACTTTTGGACACCTGGTCGATGTAGGTAAGGCCCAAGTCCCAACCCCCCAACTCCAGCAGTGACGGATTCATCGTGGGTTGTAAGTTGTGGGTGTGTTGGGGTGAGGGTGCCTTGTCCGGGACGCAGGAGTGTCGCCTTCTTTTCCCTGTGGGCCACGTATGGAGAGGAGTGCCCACCTTCTTCTGCCTTCACCTTGTCACACTGCCACGTCTTCAGCCTCCCTGGTCCTAGGAGGCCTAGCAGTCACGGGTCTGGGCTGGCTCGTTGTTTCCAAAGCAGAGCCCCATGTCCTGTGCTTCTCCCCCCCACCTCCCCACCCCGTGTCTAGGGCCTGAGCTCCCCAAACCCGACGTCATCTCCCAGCTGGAGCAAGGGGCTGAGCTGTGGGCGATGGAGAGAGGACTTACCCAAGACCGTTGTCCAGGTGAGACCTTCCAGGAAGGAACCCCTTCAGGAAGCTGTCCAGAGGGTTACTGGAGGTGCTTCTTGGGAAGTGTGGCGTGTTGTGTGTGTGTGTGTGTGTGGTGGGGGGGTGACCAGACCACCTTAAGCCCATTGATTGGTTAGCTGGGTCACACAGCTCACATATAGTCCTACTCACAGCGGAAGGACACAAAGCAGGGTCTGCAGACGGGAAGGTGCATGGGGGGATGTTCAGGAACAAGAGGCAGGTTTTCTGAAGTTGTCCCTGAGGTGAGCCACACTGGGCACCCTTCACACTGGGCAGCACGTGGGAAGTGTCGATCCCCAGTGAAGCTCAAGAGACTGAACACTCTGGGGACTGGTCCTGTGGGCACCCTCTGCTGGCACGTGCCAAATTTCCAGGATCCCTAACGGAAAGCTGCTAACCTCAGGGTCAGCTGTTCTGCGGGAGAAAGAGGAGGCATTTTGCTCCTGTAAAGATTTACAGCCTCGGAAACCCTGTACAGGGTCACTATGAGTCGGAACTGACTCCATGGCACATAACAACAACAACAACCTGAGGGAAAGCAGGTATTCAGTGCCAACCACGCTGTTTGCATCAGCACAGGGAGCAACTCTCATCAGTTCCGAGAATCGAGGTAGCTGGGGCCCCCCAAATCCTAGTGTCCAGATCCCAACCAAGGGTGAGCCTGACCAGTGGCCTTTCCAAGGATGACAGTGTCCAGCCACCCTGTGACTCCAGGGCCGTGTCCTCACCCTCTGCTGGGCGTGCTTCCCATGATGTCATGGCTCCTCCCCTGTCTCTCCTGCTCTGCTGGGAGTGCTCCTCCACATGTTATGACTCCTCACCGCTCTCTCCTGCCTCTGAGCTCAGAGGGCACTTTATCCCCTGTGGCTAATGCTTTTGTTTCTTGTCCACGTTCTGGAAGAAGGGGGATGGATGTGGTCATGGCACATGACCTACTGCTCGGGCTTCTATCTGAATGCCTCTGAGCTGACGCACATACAGATCATTTATAGCTTGGTTGTTGTTGTTGTTGTTGTTAAGTGCCGTGGAGTCTGTGCTGACTCCTAGCGATGCTGGGTAGGGTTTTTCAAGGAGCAGCTGATGGATATGAACCACCAGTCTTTTGATCAGCAGTCCAGTGCATATCCTTCAGTACCACAAACTGAGGATACTTTTCCAGTCCCTGGTCCACAGCAGGTGCTCAGTAAATATTTGTTGGGTAGTGAAACTGTGTTTTAGGCAAGGGTACCTAGTTCCCACAGAAGAGCGGGCCCAAGGACTTCACTTGGTTCTGGACAGTTAAGTAGGACCCTTGATCGGTCCTATAGGCTGAGGTGTTGGGAACCTGGTTTCGTTTCCTTGTTTTTTGCTTTTTTGTTTTCTTCCCTCAACCTCTCAGAGCTTTCTGGTTTGTTTCCAGCCTGGGAGACAGGAGCTGAAAACCAAGTGTCAGACAAGGACCCGAGCCTTCCTGAAGAGAAGTCACCTAGTGTCCTGGAAAAGAGAAGACTGCCGAGGGGTGCGTTCTGGCTTGACACACTGGGGGAGAAATGGACCCGTGAGGGTCTCCAAAAGGCCCAGGATGATCTCAGAGCAGCGCCTACTCAGGACAGAGTCCGGGAAAGTCTTGGCCTTGGGCGGGGGAGCTGTACCCTCAGTTCTGGCCTTAATGCGTTCGAGGAGATTCCTCAGGGAAAAGAGTTCTGTCCTCAGGACTCCCCTGTTAACAGCTTGGAGCAGACCTCAAGCTTAATTAGCTCCTCTGGGAGACAGCACTTTGAAAATGAGGACTGCAGTGAAGTCTTTAGCCAGAGTGTTGAAGTTATGCAGCTTGGAAAAATTCAGGTGCAGGATAAACCTTACAAATGCACGGACTGCGGTAAGTCTTTCAACCATAACGCTCACCTCACGGTACACAAGAGAATCCATACAGGAGAGAGACCGTACATGTGCAAAGAGTGTGGAAAAGCCTTCAGCCAGAACTCCTCTCTAGTTCAGCACGAGCGAATCCACACAGGAGACAAGCCCTATAAATGTGCCGAGTGTGGGAAGTCTTTCTGCCACAGCACACACCTCACCGTGCACCGGCGGATTCACACTGGAGAAAAGCCGTACGAGTGTCAGTACTGCGGAAGGGCCTTCAACCAGAACTCGTCCCTCGGCCGCCACAAGAGAACACACACTGGTGAGAAGCCATACACGTGCAGTGTGTGTGGGAAATCCTTCTCGCGGACCACTTGCCTATTCCTGCATCTGAGAACTCACACAGAGGAGAGGCCCTATGAGTGCAATCACTGTGGGAAAGGCTTTCGACACAGCTCTTCCCTGGCCCAACACCAGAGGAAGCACGTTGGCGAGAAGCCCTATGAATGCCGGCAGCGGCTGATCTTTGAGCAGACCGCAGCCCTGGCAAAGCAGGAATGGTCAGACGCCCCTCCCAACCAAGACACACGGGACGACAGACCTTTTAAATGTAGCCAGTGTGGGAAATGTTTCATTCAGAGCTCCCACCTCATCAGGCATCAGATCATTCACACCAGAGACGAGCCCCGAGGACGGAAGCGGCGTGAACCAACCAGTAACAAGAGCCCATACCTCCTCCGACACCAGTACCCGCTCTCGGGAGAGAGCCCAGGGGCTGGTGCCAAGGCAGGACAGCCTGCCGGCCGGGCCCTTGGCATGTTCGACATCCATGAAATCATGAAGGAGAAGAAGCCTGTGCATGTCATCGGGGGGGAAGAGACTCCGGTGGGTGCTTCCATGCTGTTTGACATCAGAGAGTCCACGTAGGAGGGGAACCACACAGGATGAATTTTGAACCACAAATGCAAAACTGTGGTAAGTCCCCATGAAGTGTTTGTAAGAAGAGGAAATGGTGGAAGGAAACTTTGGGTTCACACACACATCAGGTCAGCGGTCCATGAATCAAAAACCAAACTCTTTACTGCGATGTCAGTTCTGATTCATGGCAACCTTGTGAGTTACAAAGTCCAGCTTTGATCTATAGGCTTTCGGGGCTGTGGTCTCCACGGAGGCAGATCATCAAGCCTGTTCCTCACAGCACCACTGAGCAGGTTCAAACTACCCAGTTTCGGTTCGTAGTGGAGCACGATTTGTACCACCCATGGGTCTTTATCAAACTCAGTGCCCCCTTTTAACAACAAATATTCTGTAGTGTTTGTTCCCTTTCTTATCCCAAATGAGCTCACAGGTTAATGTAATCTACCCACAAGCATAATATCAGAAATTTAGGAGAAGTAAAGTGAAAATAATCTACAACAATGTGTATGGAATCTCAACATGTAAATGTGTGTGCCCAATTACATCAGAGGTCTGGGCTTAATTCTGGTAATGGGGTGTGGTGTTAGCCACAGAGCTACCACGAGGGGCCTTAATGTAGGTGGTGTAGTTTTCCAAAACAGTAACTAATATTTTGAACAAAATGCTGTTGCCTTTCTGGAAAATGATTGTATTTCTGGAAAATTCTGTATAAATCTAAGCATGCAAGAATTAATTGGTGTTTGTATATGCGCAGGTAAGTTCTCAGCTCAGACATTACAAAAGGTGGTTTTACACACATTATCCACTGGCAGGGAGGCATGCTTGACTCATCCAAAATGTCAGCCACACAAACACCCAATCCTGTGACACAGAAGCCCCCGCCCCCCAGGAAAGCCACTGTTGATTCCTGTTGAAATTCCTGTTGAGAACCACTGCTTTGAACATCCAGTGTTGCTATATGCCAGAAGTTCTCAACTAGGCGTTGTTTGTCCCCACAGGGGACATTTTGTAACATCTGGAGGTATTGTCATGATCAAGGAAGGGGTGTTGTTCCATCTAGTGGGTAGAGACCCTGTGTGCTGCTAAAGATCCTTCAATGTCCAGGTCAACCCCACAACAAAGAAGTAGCCAGCTCTCAATGGTCATAGTGCCAGCAAATATCACTAGTGCCAACGTGGAGAAATCCAGGTAGGAACCAAGCTAGCAGTTTAGCAGACGTTTGCTCAGCTATGAATTGTTTGAGCAGGGCCACACTAAAATCCTGTCATTTTATTGAATGACATCATTAACCATGACTTATTATTTAGTGATTGATTCACTATATTACAACATCACAAATGATGTGAAAAAAGGAAGAGAATCCAACTAGTCTTCTTATCACTGCAACGTGGACAAGTTTTAACATGGATAATGTCTTTTTCCAGGAACCCCACCCAACTTCCTGCCCTACCTTGGTTTTCACATTGAGCCTAGACATCATATTATTTCATCTATATTTCAATACATGCCTCTAGAAGGCAAGGACTCTTAAAAAGTGTATAATCATATTGGTCCAAGAGGACAAGACTGGCTTTAAATCATAGTAAGATGCTGTGTGCCTCTTTTGCTGTGTGGATGTCGGCACTGATTGTATAAAAACCATGGTGGTGGTGGTGGTGGCGATGTGCCGTGGAGTCGGTTCCAACTCATATTGACCCTGTAATAGGGTTTCCGAAGCTATAAATCTTTACGGGAGCAGAAAGCCTCGTCTTTCTCCCGCGGAACAGCTGATAGTTTCGAACTGCTGACTTTGAGGTTCGCAGCCCAATTCGTGACCACTGCGCTACCAGAGCTCCCTATAAAAGCCATCAGGGGGCCTGAGCACGAATCAAGGTAGAGGTACTCATGATCCGGGTTCTAAATCTTCACTTCCGAGCATTTGCAGTAAAGTCAAACAAAACAAAAAATGCTAGTTCCATGGAAGAATCTATAATAAAATAAGAAAGATTTTAAATATTACTGAATCTCAAAAAGAAAAAGCATCCACATTCCTATTGTCATATCTAAACAGAAGGAACCGTAGTTAGGAATTCATCTAGTGTTCCAGATATTCCTGGTTGCCTCATTAATTTATAAAATTTTTTTTTTTTCACTTGCCTTGTTCTAATCATGGTCTAAGAATCCTGGTGTGGATCTGTAGGATAAGCACTGGACTGCTAACCACAAAATCTACAACACAAACCCACCAGCCTGCTCCTCAGAAACCGTATATATACAGGGTCACTGTGAGTTGGAACCAACTCAATGCCAGAAGCAATCACGGTCTGACAGACAAGCCTTTAAGTTTAGAGCTTGCCACCCTTTCTTTTTCAGCCTGTTGCTTGTTGAGGGGGGGTGGGACTAAGCTAAGTTCTGTGCCAGTGGGCTGCTCTGAACCTTGTGAGTCTCACTGACCCCGCATGAGGTCTCTGCTGAAGGACCACTGGAAAACTCTTCTCTCAGTCGTCCATGCCAGGAGAAGCTACACTTCTGAGAGAACGGTTCATTTTTCTCAAGAGGAGGACATTTTTATAAAAATTGTATTTTGTTGTTGTTGAGAATATGCATAGCAAAATATACATCAGTTCAAAATTTTCTACATGTACGGTTGAGTGCCATGGATAGCATTCTTTGAGGTGTGCACCCATCCTCTCCTCGCTTTTCTGACTTGTCTCTCCCCCATCAACATACATTCACTCCTGTTAAGGACTTCCCGTGTGGTGCTGTGGGCTAATGCGTCAGACTACAAAGCCGTTTGAACTGTAAGGTCGGTGGTTCAAGCTCTCCAGCTGCTCCTTGGAAACCCTACACAGGGTCGCTATGGGTCGGAACCGACTCTATGGCACTGAACAACAAAGGTTCCTGTATAATCTTTCCCATTGCTGTTGTTAGTTTGATCCCATATAGGTAGTTTGTGAAAGATCATAAGGAAAACAGGACATTTTAATGCCCACATTTCTTTTTAAAAAAGCTTTTATTGTGAATTGAGTGATGGTTTACATGGGAGAACATTGGGTTTGCACTCAGCCAATCATATTTTGTTTCATTGCAGTATTTACAATCCCTTCCATGCATCACTGGTTAACAGTATTTGCTTCTATTCCCGACTGCCCACATCTTGAAGCCTTGGCTTGACCATCCGATTGCTTTCTTCCAGTTTGTCTCTTGAGGAAAGGCAAGGTTTCCGACCTTTATCTGGAATGTTCTTAACACTGTGCATTGTGTTGTGGTTGCTGGTGTCTCATGTTGTTGTTGTTAGGTGCCATTGACTCGGTGTGACTCAGAGTGACCCTGTGCACAACAAAATGAAACCCTGCCCGCTTCTGCTCCAACCTCACAATCTGCTACGTTTGAATCCATTACTGCTGCCACTATGCCAGTCTATTCCATTGGGGGTCTTCCTCTTTTTCTCTGACCCTCCACTTTACATACATGATATCCTTCTCCAGTGACTGGTCTTTCCTGATAACATGTCTGAAACATGAGAGAGGAAGTCTAGCCCTCCTTGCCTTCTAAAGAGCAGTCTGTGTCTACTTCTTGCAACACAGATTGGTTTGTTCTTTGGACGGTCCAGAGTACTTTTAGTGTTCTCCAATACCATGACTCAGATGCATCAACTTTTCTACAGTCTTCCTTATTCACTGTCCAACTTTCACACACATATAAGCCTACTGAAAATACTACAGCTAAGGTCAAGTGCACCTTAGTCCTCAAAGTGACATCTTTCCTCTTGACCATTTAAAAGGAGTCTTGTGCAGCACATCTGCCTAATGAAATAACGTCTTTTGATTTCTTGACTGCCGCTTCCATGAGTGGTGATTAAGTGAAATGAAGTCTTTGACAACTTTAATCTTTTCTCCATTTATCTGGATGTTATTTATTGGTCCAGTGGTGAGGATTTTTGTTTTCTTTACATTGAGGTGCAACCCATACTGAAGGCTGTGGTCTTTGATCTTCATCAGTATTTTAGGGCCTCTTCACTTTCAGCAAGCGAGCTTGTATCATCTGGATGTCTCAGGTTGTGAATGAGTCTTCCTCCAATCCTGATGCTACATTTTCTTCATATAGTCCAGCTTCTCAGATGATTTTTTTAGTATTCAGATGGAATAAGTATAGTGAAAGAATTCAAACCTGGCATGTACCTTTCTTAATTTTGAACCATTTGCTGTTCCCTTGTACTGTTTGAACAACTGCCTCATGGTCTATGTATAAGTTCCTCATGAGCACATTTAAGTGTTCCAGAATACTCACTATGTAATTTTGTCCATAGCTTGTCATGATCCACACAATCGAAAGCCTTTGTATAGTCAGTAGAGCACAGTTAAACATCTTTCAGGTATTCTCTGCTTTCAGCCAAGCTCCATCTGACATCAACAGTGATATCCCTCATCCTCTTCTGAATCTGGCTTGAACATCTGGAAATTCTCTGTCAGTGTATGGTTGCAGCCATTTTTGAGTGATCGTTAGCAAAATTTTGCTTGCTTG